TCTCAATATGTAATTCGCACGTACGTATCGAGCAATTGCGAGAATTGATCGATTTGACGCCGCACCGATATTCCGCAATCGATTTTAAACGAGTCACCGATCGTATTTACATTCTCGTCCAGATACGCGTTTGATAATCGTCCTCATCCGAAACACGCGCTTCGATATATAATCGATATATGTACAATAATAAGCTATAAATTGTAACGAAGTCCACGGAGCTATATAACCTTGTGTGAAGGATCTTTTCACACGGAACTAAATGAAACTTAAGCCCGTTCCACTCTCATACGTCCGTGTAAGATCGGCCGCGCCGGCCGCTCGAAGAGCCGGCGAGACACGTTGAAAGTAAATACATCGCCCGGACACGAGGCCCTGGTATATACACGAGCGCTTGAAAAAGTGGAAAGAAAGTTGCCAATGCACCTCGCATACCTTCTACTACATTGCGGCGATTCTGACGTTCGTTTGCTTCGTTTCGAGTCGCGGAGCGAGCAAGTTTCGCAGTGAATGGACCGAAAGCGCGACGCGGCGGCGCGAATGAACTTTTCGCTCGGCCGCTCGCTTGCCTGATTAATCATTAGGGATTAATTCCGCGCGCGCGCGCGCGCGCACGCGGGGATCGATCATCTGTTCGACGAACGAATCCAATTTGTGCGGCGCGCACGGTACGTTTAATCCCATCAAACCCATTATGTCCGGGGATCGGAGAAAACGCTGTATTTAATCGTACACCTCGCCGTGTGTGTTTCCATTCGCGCTTAATTGAATAAAATCGCGCGAGGAGTTTAATGAACCTGGCGCGATTAATCCATTTCGTACGCGGCCTTCTTGGCAATTACGCGGGTTAAATATCCAATAATGCGCGCGATAAACGCGTGACGTTAATTTGTCGATAATATGAAAATAGAAAAAGAGCGTGCTGTAGAAAAAAAAAAAAAAAAAAAATACAAAAAGTACGTAAGTAGCTTCGATTTGATTTAATGATGGCTTTTTTAATCAGAGAGAACTACGCGATTCGCGCGCGTCTCTCAGGGACTCTCTCTGTAGGAATTCGCGTGGACAATAAGAAAACCTGTCCTTCTCGCGTCGTCAGGATGCGGACGCACGCATATTTAAAGGACAGCGCGCGCGTATATATGTATATTCAACCGCCGCGCAGAAGGGTCATCGTGTGTCAACGTCAGGAGAACTCGCTTGCGCGAGCGTAAACAATCTCTCTCGCGCACAAATGCGCGCGCGCGCGGAATGCGACACCCGTATGCCGAGTGCGTATAATGACGTTTTCTAGATAGCGACGGACGAGGTACATACATATCCGCAAACGGGAAGAGAGAGATGGCGAAGAAAGAAGCGTGCGAGGGATTACAAAAACGCATTATTTAAGGTTGGTTTTCACAATGGCGAACAAGTGCGTCCAGCTCTCTCCGTTGCGGCGCGTAAACGTCAGGTAAAAAACTCTGCGTTTTTGCGAACAATCTCGCGAGAAATGCCGTTGATGATACCGCGATGAAAATGCGTATACAATTCGCGGCTCAAGTGTCGAGGAAAAATTGAAGAAGAAAAGATATAATTCAAGAGATAATAAAGAGACTTGTTGTGTGTGTCTATATATATATATAATATATACGCTCTCTATATTTCGATACGCGCACAATACGTGGAAATAAAACAATATCGATATCGATTGATTATCAATATTTTTCGATGAAAAAACATGTTTTATCGCGCTGCTTGCGCGCAGCAAGAAAAACATGTGTGTTATATATCACCAGTTAAATAAATCCGTGAAAACCCGTTGAGAAATCTGTACTTGTGGTAAATGCGAAATCGCAGAGTTTATAACATGCGTTCGGAAGCGGAAAATTGAGATGGATTATTTATTACAAAATTCTTCGCAACATGTTCGCGAAACGAACAATGTTAATTATGACAAATTACACCGACGGACATACGAAGAAGAAACCGATAAATATTCGCGATGTGTGTCACGGAATCGCACGCAGACGTTATTAGGAGGTCAACAAACTGCTGCTCTACGCGAAGGCACACACATACACAGACCGCGCGCGTTTTCCATATGTACGCGCTTATATTGTGAGAAACCAGGACGTTTATTAAAGACAAATGCGCACGAAATGAAGACCGCAACCAGACCATTCTGCGTTACATTCTGAAACACGTTTAATTAAAAATAAGGCCACTCGAACGACGTAAATATCCGAGTTACATTCTAGTTTTCTATCGGATCATTAAGTATGAAACGTATATATATGTGTCAAATTTCATACTTAATGATTCGATACTATAATACAAAGATATTACATTTCATACGAAAATATTTTTTTGCAATACGCGAACAGATATTCCAAACCGTTCAAATCACAACTTTCTTTTTTGAACAAAATGCGCAACGACACGAATTACACATTTCATCAAAAAGTCGAAGTAAAGTTGTTAAACAAATAACAATTTTTTTCAGTGGAATAAAAATTGAATATCGTTCAAAACTTACATCTACATCGTCTCTTTCCCACATTCGCGATTGTGTGAAAAACAAACTTGATACTTCAGTTCGAATTATTACATACAATTTACACGTTTAAATAAGTACACTCGCGCACGTACATCCGGTACACAATTCACATTGATAAAAAAAAAAAACACTCTTTGTCGATTTGATACTCTGTATACGAGCTTAAATGTGTAAATTTGTTAATAATGTTTATCAAGATCATCAGTTGATTCTTTTAAAAATCTTCCTAAAAAACTTTTGTTCTTAAAAAACCGTAAGATTACACGTGCGTTGTTTTTTTTTTTTTTTTTTAGAGAAAAAAGATTTGAGATAATCCGGAAGAAAACTCTCGTAACGTCGCGGTAACTCTTGCCTCGACCGCAACCGAAGTCGTGAAATTCGATACGCCAGTAATAACAACCGTTCCGCGCGATTTATGTGTTACAAAACTGTGTCAGCCTCACGTGGGAGATCACGTAGGCATTTTCGTAGGCGCGATTTGCAGGTGTCGTTCGGTGGGACGACGCGAAAGACGAGAGACACGATCGGCCATCGCTCAGTTCGAACAGATTGTTGCGTGTCTACCAGGTGCTGTCGATTTTTTTTTTTTTTTTTTACCGACATGACGCAAAGAAGAGATATAGGTACGTAGTCTCGTCGGATGTTCGCGAAACGAGGTTTTTGCCTGACAATTACGGCAGCGACTATGCGCGTGTCCAGACGAATGTAAACACGTGCGCGCATCACGCGCCGAAACTCGCGCGATATGACGTACGTTATATAAATTTCTCGGCGATAAGAGTTTCGCGAGAAAAATTTGACGCCGGCGACGCGAAATTCGTCGCCGATTATGCATCGATTAATGACGCGGCAAGTCGTCGTTCTGCGCCCGGCGCGATGCAGGAATGCAACTCGCAAATGTCACGAGCGGGGGAACGAAGAGAAAGAGAGACGGGAAGATGTCTCCGGAGAGATGTTTTTACTGCTTTTCTTCTTCTACCTGTTGAATGGAACGACGCCCGTTATCGCAAATCCTCTGGACACAAAAGTGTCGAGACTTCCATAGATTTGCGACTTTTTTGTACGTGACTCGGATGATACTTTGTGTTCGAAAAAAAAAACAGAAAAATCTAGAAATTTTTGGAAGAAGACGACAAAAAAAGTGCCGAACACACGTGCTCCAATAGAAATGTCGAATGTTCAAAATTAAGATTATTGCAATTAATTTAAAAAAAAAAAAAAAAAAAAAAAACAAATGCAAAAACATGGAAGTTTTTTTTCTTTACAATTTCGTTGAGAAAATTCATTTTGACCAATTTGGCTTCGATCAGTTTAACAATAAAACTGTACGTAGTTGGCGCGATTGTATTTCTTCACACTGTTATTTACAGATAACAATAAGTATATGTAAAGTTGTATAAAACTGTGATATGAAAATCCGATTGTAAGCTTATAATTCGCGGATAAGGGAATGGAAATGGCGCATGTTACAATCGTAAGATAGACTGAGAGGAGGATGATTAAAGGTCGGCAATCGGTGAATCATCAGATTACGATACTGATAGCTTGATAGCAAGAATTAGCACATCGGCACAATGGCTAAGTGTAATCGTTGATGTCGCGAGCGCGCGCGCGCGCGCGCATGCAAGGAGACATCATTGTACATTATTGTTGCTTTTGTGTTATTCGTGTCACGTACGAAGGAACGATCTCTATAGCTGACCCTCGACACGTCATCGTTGGAAAGTATTTTCTTATCTAAGTAACGGTGTGAAAAATATTTGACAAAGCCAAACGAATTTCAATCGTTTGTTGTTTTATTCGTTTGAAATTTTCTTAACGCGCCCAAGAACAATCAAGATTTGAAGATTTTTTTAAATTGTCGATTTCAACATCAAGCTGTTTTTGTCCTGAATAAAAACTAGAACCGCGGCAACAAGTTGGTGCGAAAAAAACGCACGTTTATTTGTTTCGATATTTCGGGAGATAACGCGATGGAGACTCGTGGAGAAATCGGACTTCGTGATCCAGATACAACGAATTAACCGGCAATTAAGATGCTACATCGTTCAATTAAGAGATTTCCCTCGATCTTATAAATAGCGCTTTGATAGTTGATTAATTAGTTAATTACGCGTCGTGCTCGACAACCTTGAGGCCCGTTTCTGATGTCACCGGAAACGCATCGGCGCGATTGTTCGTGCGGCTTTTGCGCCGGATTGAATATTTTATATAGACAGCAGTCACAGGATAAATGAAAAAAAAAAAACAAAAAAACAAAATCGCAAGTAGAAATGCGCCATGTAGAAACGCGATAAAGATATAATATGTGAAAATAAAGCTTATTCGCGAGCGTTTCGTATTTTGAGGCGGAATCTACTGCAAACTTTCAAGCTCTACTGATTAAAAATCACAGATCGAGAAGTTTCAATTCCGCGTATCCGAAGTTCTATCTGTTTTTTGTACATACACACGTACAACTCACGTTGCGTTATTTTCGTAACAAGTTACACGTCGATGGCGCGATGTCTCGCTGGAGTTAAAACGCAACGCCAGCGTATATCGAGTGTTAGTTTCGTCTCGTGTCCTCCTCGGTTTTGTTTACACATCACCTGCGTCTCGTCGTGACTGCTTGTTTACCAGGAATTTCACGTCGATGACGTGATTCCGGAGAGCTTCGGGAGAGAAATGCGAGATTCAGCGCGAGCGCGAACGACGCTTCCTCGAAGTCGATCTCGACGGCAACAATCCTCGCGATCGGCACGTATATGTACGCTCGCGCGCGCGCGCGCGCTCGTGCCTACCTTTCGTCAGAGAGTGATTTTTATCTGCGTCCTCTCGTCGTCGCAGACCCAGGCACGCAACGCGGCCATGCACGGCAACAGGTGCGCGCAACGGTGTGCAGCATTTTACGACGATGGCAATTTTTTACGCTCGTAATCCTTCCCCCTCCCGAATTCCCCGTGAGAGATGAGATATTTTTACATTTATATCTTGACGTATATCCGGAGACGTCGACGCGGAGAAATCGCAGTTCGATTTCTGTCGTATCGATCGCCGATCGCGAGAGGAATCGACGACGACTATTTTTTTTACCGTAGTACGCAAGAAGTGCGTAAAGAAAGAAAGATAGATAGACAAACAGTGTTGCTTACCTATTTTATATACAAATTTTTCACTACGCGTCGCACACGCACACAACACAGATAGACAGAGACAGGAAAGGCAGGGAGGGAATGGCTCTCGCTCGGTCTCGAGGTAACTGAGAGACACAGCGACACAGAGCTCTCACGTTCCGAACATGCTCGGCCGCAAATACTTCGGCGACTAATCCGCCGATCGCCGTCGCACCGTTACTACCTGCCCCAGGTGCGCTACAGGTAACGCGACGAGCGATTGGCTGACTGTCGCGGGACCAACATGGCGGCCGGTCTAGCTGGAATCGGCGATCTTCGATGCGATGCTTCAGGATTGAATGTAAATCCGTAAAATCCTTCATGCGGTGAATTTTTTTTTCCAATTCATGATTTTTTTCACAAGTTTCTTTCTATTTTCAGGAAGGACAGAATGAAGGTGTTGCGGAATTATCGTCAAATAATAAATACATAAGTTTTATACATATGTAACATATATGTATATATGTATGCATGAGCAATGGGATGATGATGCACGACGTTATCTGAGAAAAATAAAAAAACCGATATAAATCTCGATCTAATAAAATTACAACACAAGATTGTTAATTTAAAAAAAAAAAAAAAAAATAAATACATACTATTTTAACAATGTTCTAATTTATCTAAATACATACTAATTTAACAATGTTTAATAGAGAGAAATGGTTAAATTAATATAAACTATGAATTATATACAGGTTATTTTAATAACTTAACAACATTAATTTTATTGAATATTTACACGTAATACAGAAGAAAAAACAAATTTCAAACCAATGAATTTATATGAAAATTCAATACAGTTCCAGTTTGTATATAGTTTATTAACTCACAACATTATTTTTCACAATGTTGGAGATAAAATATTAATTTAACTGTTTTATTTTTTATGATAAAGCTATAAATTAGCTAAGGATTTATTCTTATATTTTACACATCATTCTCGTAGTCTTTGGGATTCTTGCGAGAAAGAGACTTATTCTTTTCCTTGGCCCAACTTATAATCAAATAGGTACACATGAAGACTGCAACAGAATCATAATATAAAATCCTTGAGAGTCTGTAAAAATGACAACTAAAAACTTTGACCAAAACAAACTAAAACTTAACAACGCATCAGAACATGCACAGTTTTTGCTATTCATTGAAGATGATATTTTATATTCACATTATTCAATATATCTATATATATATTTTACACATTCACATATCATTTAATAAATGTTATACATATCAAAAATCTATGTTTTTGCTCACATAATGGCTTTCTAAAGTTTTCTTATAAACCTATTTAATATACAAACCAAACTGTCTGTTTCCACCATCACCGATTAACTTAATCAATTAATTATTCTGGTAGAGTTGACCAATCGTATTGATTGATTCACTGAAATGACCAATTGCGGTTGACTAGCAATCGATCAAGTTAATCAAAGATGGTAGAAACGGGCATAAGTAGTTAAAATGTCAAAATAGGATCGAGTCCAAAACATACTTTCTCTACAATGAAAGGTAACTTAAAAAATGTGATAAAATTAGATACTAGTAAATAGCAATCACTAAATACTTACAAGGTGCAATTCGAAATACACGATCATTGATACGGCGAATCAGATTCGGTACACCCTCAGAAATCATTCCCTTAAAGGCTTTCTGTTCGTATGGACTAAGTCGGAAGTAGACAATGCCATTGATTTTGGCGAGGTTCCCGAATTGCTTTCCCATAGTGACCGCAGCCTGAAAAGGTTGTTGCAGTTAACATAACGCCTTAAATCGTGACAACGTGCTCGTAATATATGCAATAACAGATTTTAAGTAAAACAACAGAGGAAACGTCTAACAAAACATAACCTCACAGACAGAATGTGACAGTAGTTACGTAACGGTACAAGTGTTCTATGAATCTCGAACAAGGTTTTTGTTTTAAATTAAATTCAATGTGCAGTTTAAACAAGAAAGATATAAAAAAAGTTATATTAAGCATTAAATACTATTAAATAATTATGTAACCTTACTCTGTATTCACGAAGTTCTAACGTCACTAACTGCACAAGTGCTGTGATCAGCTGTGATGTTCATTCCACTGTCGTTAGTTGCGCCGCCATCTGCTGATCGTCAAGCATATAAATGTGCATCATTTGTGGACACTTAGGGCGATGTCCACACGGCGTCAAAAATTCNCGGAGTAGGCGCGGGGATCGGAGGGTAGCAAATGGCCAATAGTTTTATGTTTTGAGCATATATGTAATACTCCTATATTGCTAGTCGCGTATCTTCGCAATGAGAGGCACGAGGCTCGAGAAAGGGAGACGCACGAAGTCCAAATATGGGCATAGATGGTCGAGCGTCATTATGCGCAGGCGCATCTACCAAGTGAGTGCGAGCGAGACAAAGCATTGGAAAGTGAGAGAAAGAACGCGAGAAAGAGAAATGCGCAAGCGTACTTGAATGTTCACCGCATGCGCACAAAGCAGCTGAAGAGAGAGGCTACTATATTGTCTGCACCGTAACGGTGAGCTTCAGGTCGGCACCGTACTAGCAATATAGGAGTATTACATATATGACATATATGTAATATACGCTCGACCATCTATGCCCATATTTGGACTTCGTACGTCTCCCTTTCTCGGGCCTCGTGCCTCTCATTGCGAAGATACGCGACTAGCCACGGCTGGTTGACTAGCAGCCAGCGGTTAAGGCGGTACTGGATACCGACTATAGAGAGCTGTAAACCGACGTTTTTATAACCTGAATTTCTTTATTTTTTAATTTTATTTACTGCACAACATTAAAAGCGCTTCTACAGAAGCAAATAAATATACAAAACTATATAAAGCTTTTGAAAATGGGCATATAATGCTTTTTTGAACTTGTTTTTCATTCATAATGATAGTATATGGTAGCAAATACACATCATCACAATATTACTTTTTGTGCATCAATTAGACAACCAAATCATATTCTGAGTGTTTCATTAGATTGTTTTGTGTCGTACGTATTGCTGTAGTTCAGTGTAAATACGTACATAAGCTTAGAAATAATTTTATATACATGATGATATGATAAGGTTATAGAAGGAAACTATATAAGAAAATATTTATGCTGAATTTTTACATTTTAAAGAACAACAGCAAACTCTTAGCACAAGTTACTTATTTCTGTAGAAGCAGTTTGGATTTGATGCAGTAAATACGGCACAAAACGAACTATTAAAACATCGATTTACAGGTCTCTATAGTCGGTATCCAGTACCCTCTTAAGAGGGTACCGGATACCGACTATAGAGATCTGTAAATCAACGTTTTAGAAACGTAAATTTTACTAATTTCTAATTTTGTATACTGCATCATATAAAAAATGCTTCTAATGAAGCAAGTAAATATAAAAAACTACATGGTGTTCTTGAAAAAGGGTATATAATGCTTTTTTTTTATTTACAAAGATAGTATGTGATAATTTATGCTGTCATCACGAGAATCGTTTTTTCTCGTCAACTACACATTCCAATCATAATCTGAATATCTTTTTGGATTCTTTTTTGTCGTACTTATTGCTGTAGTTCAGTGTAAATACGTACAGTGCGGAGCACCATATCGTGCGCCGTGAGGAGAAGTAGTTCTCCTCCGGCCGCCTCCTACTATCACGTGCCAGCGTCCCGAGATTTAATCCATATATCGGCACGGTTACCGATGATACATACCGACACGGTTACCACTAATACCGACAGGCATATGTTATCATAAAATTATCATGAACATTGAAAAGAGTAACTCTGCATTAAAAGTGACTTCAATAATTTATATCAAATATTTAGTTATTTAATTATTACGTGATATAAAAATATTTTACTTTCTTACACTTACTTACGGTAAGTGTAAGAAAGTAAAATATATTTAAGTAAGAGAGTAAAAAACTTCTTGTCAGAACCATAAATATATCTTTGACAGAAAAACATTTTTGTGAGCGCAATCCTATAAAATAAAATCTAGCGTAACTGCTTCAAAATTATATAAAATAATTGTTTGTGTCATTCTTCTTATCTTTTCACACACACACACACAGTATTTGTTAGTATCATTATTTTGTTAAATTTTTAAATACATATACAACTATATATGTATATATGTATATATAAACATAACTATTATAATATTGCCTTACTAATTTTTATTTTTGATGTTGTAAAGAAAATTTAACGCTACTTATACAAATCTAGTATAGTGTTTCATTTTTTATTCTTAATATTTAAATAATGTTTAAAAATATTTTAATAATCACTATGACATTTATNTATTGTCATGGTTTTTTACTCTCTTACTTAAATATATTTTACTTTCTTATATCACGGTAATAATTAAATAACTAAATATTTGATATAAATTATTGAAGTCACTTTTAATGCAGAGTTACTCTTTTCAATGTTCACGATAATTTTATGATAACATATGCCTGTCGGTATTAGTGGTAACCGCGTCGGTATGTATCATCGGTAACCGTGCCGATATATGGATTAAATCTCGGGCCGCTGGCGCGTGCTAGTAGGAGGCAGTCGGAGGAGAACTACTTCTCCTCACGGCGCACGATATGGTGCTCCGCACTGTACATAAGCTTNGAAATAATTTTATATACATGAATATATAGTGCGGTTATAAAAGAATAGTGTATAAGAAAAACTTTATGCTGAATTTTGACATTCCAAAGAACAACAGCAAACTCTTAACATACTTTATTTATTTATGTAGAAGCATTTTTGATTTGATGCAGTATATTATATAACTATTAAAACGTCGAATTACAGGTTTCTATAGTCAGTATCCAGTACTCTCTTAAGCATTATTGCTTTCGTTTTTAATGCCTGAAATAGCGTGATTTCTCGGGACCGGCCCAATGGTCTCGCGGCCTGAGTGCAGGCACTGCGAATCTGGAGGTCCCGAGTTCGAATCCGCTCACCACCCTGGAGTGTGGTAAGGATTTTTTCCGGGCCGGTCCCTTTCAACCAAGTTTATTTGGTTGATCGACGAACATAATCGGGCCTCCGATAATTACTTCCCGTGTATTCCCGAATTAATTCCCCTCCCACAAGGCATTTGAGTCACAACATTAGGTCTACCATTTCATCGAAATCGCAAACCGAAATGTTTGACTCGGTCCCGAGTGATGGCCACTTACCTGCTAGCGTAGCTGCTGATCAGCAAAGCAACTTTGTTCCAGCGAAGCATCTTGTAGAATTTGCTTTTTTGTGCTTCTAATAGCTTTTTTTTCTTTCCGACAATATCGCTTCCAATTTTGCCGTTGAATCTACGCAACTTGCCTGAAATCGATTAACAATTCTCGTAAATTTTCACATGTAGCATGACAAATCAACAAATATAAGCAAACCAACTGCGCATGTCTTACCTTGATGGATGTAAGAAAATGTTTGCTGTTTTTGAGAATAATAGTGCGCAGTGAATACAACAATATGAGCCTGATCNAGCTGTGCAACGTCCGCGAAGATGGTGTCTACCATACGAGCATACAATACTTGAAAAGATTTCGCGCGTCTTCAACTGTAGGAATGATATTGTGTCCTTTCTTAGCTGCGTCAATTAGATCTTTTCCCGTTCTCCGTGAAAACTTCACCGCGTAAACGATTCCTTCCTGAATATACAAAATATTTGACATCCCAAGAAAAAATGGATTAAATCTAAGTAGATCTAATTTAAATCTAACGAGATAAAACAAGTAGAAAAATAGATCTAATTAGATCCAATTTAGATCTAAATAGATATACAGTAAATCTAGACAGATATAACTACATCTATGTAAATTTACACTTCACTTATCAGTAGATCTACTCAGATTTATTATATTAGATCTAAGCAGATCTAAGCAGATCTAAGCAAAACTAAGCAGATCTGAATAGATCTAAGATAATAGAGCTGAATAGATCTAAAGAAGATCTAATGATAAATACAGTGTAAATTTACACATAGATCTACTTATATCTATTTAAATTTATTTTGTATGTATTTAGATCTAATTTAGATTTAATTAAAACTATTTTTCCATTTTTTTATCTCGTTAGATTTAAGTTTGATCTACTTAGATTTAATCCATTTTTTCTCGGGTCGTGACTTAAATCATCAAAAGCTTTTTTTCAAGATTTAAGTTCTCTTTTATTCTTCCGACTTCTTTAACAAGAATTGTGCTTAACATTAGCAAACACAGAATATAACTGCTATATAACATAGAAGTAACGCGTATAATAATGTAACATAACAACTGTTATATTATTAACATCGATGTTATATGAATATGTTTTATAATTGTACTATATATGTGTTACATATCTATTATATTGCTTTGTTATTACCTGGCAATGACATTGTACCAGCAATATAATTGATATAAATATGTTACATAACAAATGTTATCTGAATTCAACATTGTTGTTATGTAATATTATTTATCAATATATAATTATTGCAATATAACAGCAATAAAACAGTTACATAGCTTTTATGAAATTGTATATAATTGTTAGGAAATTATTACATTGTCGTTATTACATGATGACAACATATTTATATTTTGTGAAATAGTGATTTTTCACAGAAAGTTTGTGAAATAGATACAGTAACTCGTAAGAAATGTACTTGTTCTTTTTGAAGTACATTTCGTACAAAATATTGTAACTACTTCTCAATGTAGGTTTTACTTATTTTATATGATATCTTAGTTTTACGTTACATTCTTAAAGTCAAAATAACAAATAGAAATGTAAAGTGTCATTTAAAACATTACTAGTTTGTCAATAACACATGACAAATGAGTTACTTTAATCAGTTTTACATGTCCCAAGTGGCCACTCAAATTANAATTAATATTTGTATTGTTTATTCTGTATTAATGATAAAGTTTCAAAATGTGATTCACACAAAAAGTAACGCGGTTTTAACAGTTTGAAGTATTTTTTAGTCAAAAACCATCGCATCTCGCGTGTAGAGAAATCCGTGAATTCGTGTCGTCGCTCTTTTTCGATGTTTGAACTTCGCAGCGAGTCAATCGACGCTTTTGCGACTATTTTTTCACGAACAAATTTACNTTTACTCTCTTACTTAAATATATTTTACTTTCTTACACTTACCGTAAGTAAGTGTAAGAAAGTAAAATATTCTTATATCACGTAATAATTAAATAACTAAATATTTGATTTAAATTATTGAAGTCACTTTTAATGCAGAGTTACTCTTTTCAATGTTCACGATAATTTTATGATAACATATGCCTGTCGGTATTAGTGGTAACCGCGTCGGTATGTATCATCGGTAACCGTGCCGATATATGGATTAAATCTCGGGCCGCTGGCACGTGATAGTAGGAGGCGGCCGGAGGAGAACTACTTCTCCTCACGGCGCACGATATGGTGCTCCGCACTGTACATTAAAAATACATATTTTCTAAATTCACGAGACGTTTTCTGTTATATATGTATTTGTGTCTACACTCTGTTCAATGAAAGAATATTCTCTATCTGCGCATAGGAAAAGCAAAGCAGGGATACGTTCCGTTTCTTGCATATTTCGCGCATTTATCTATAGTACACGTTACGTATACTGTAGATCATGCGCGCATATGCATAAAACAGAACGTGTCCTAAACGTTTGGTACATTTTCTCTCAATCTGGTACATTTTTAACAGTTAGTTGGTACAAAATTTTTTTTTGTTCTGGCAACACTACTCCCAACACCTCGGTGCTCTCGGTGCTAGCCGGCCAGAGTTTGCAACACTGCTACCGAGCCTCTTGATAAGTCTATGGTCACAATTCTTCCATAAGAGTTTTCTAACCCTGACTACCCTTGATCGCATTCCCGGACGTCGAGCGGAGGAGAGCAGCGTCGTTGAATCGCGCCGGTTGACAATGCGGGAAGATGGCGGCAGCAGAGTCAAACGGGGCAAAATGCGTGGATATTTTGCGCGGTAAAAATGCCGCGGAAAAGACGGACACGCCGAGAGCGGCAGCGCTGCCGCGCCAGCAAGACGAGCGTTATCGATTCCGCGCTGTCGATTTGCTGTACTATGCGTTCTCACTCAGTTTCTTTTTCGCGGACGTGACAACAGGTGAACAAAGAGTTGCCCTTACACATTAATTCACGTTTGTATATATACGCATTTATGGGGTGTCTTACATCTCGTGACTCCGTACCTTTCAATGACAGTTAAGTTCTGTCGACACGATCGTTCGACTACCGATAATTTCAAAACTCTCAAAAAGCAAACTTCAGACTATTTGATCGCGTAAATGGAATCGTATTTGTTGTGATCAATTTCTTATACAATACTAATTTATAAATTAATTTTTTTACAGTGAAAATATATATTTACAAATTTATAGAACAGTTGTTTTTGAGAATTAAAGTGTTTAATATTTTCACTAAAAACAAATTGATCGACAATTGAACTTCGGCCAAACTTAACAAAACATTGTACATCAATTTGTGATATTTTTAAACTGTTGGAAACTTTTGTGTCAAAGTCGCTAAAAGATCACAAACACGGTTGCACAAAAACGTGTTGCTAATGCGTTTATTAAAATTTATATAAATTTGCTAATTGCGAGACACCCTGTATACAGTTTAAAGTACTGTTTTATATCGATGTTATTAGTAAAACTTATAAACAGTGTTGACAGTTTTATGTTTATTGATCAGTTAGAAATAAAATATTAAATAAATATAAAATTGTTATACAAAATCTACGCTTGCTTTCAAACACCTTATAAGTTACCTTTGGTAATTTCCAAGTAGCGACACTAATCAGCATAAAGATCATTCTATCTTTGTTTCTCACTAAATATTGAACAAGAACAGAATAACTCCTATGTAGACTCGTCGTTATAATTGGAAAGCATTTATAAAGTGCTTGAAAGTAAGTCATTCTATAACTTATCTAAGTAGCATCTTATAGCTGCTTGTTGATAAAAAAGTTTGTATTTTTCACACACCTGAGCATTTTTGTAAAACAATTTTTGCGCACACAGATAGCATTGTATGTGTGCAATACTTTTTGCAAGGCCACTTAGCATGGGGATGCTTTGCGACAAGTTTCACCATCTTGCCCGCTTGTGTCACTCAAGTATTTAGTTTGAGGTGGCATTACAAGGAAGGTTCTTTGAGGACTGTTCACTGGCTACTGCACTCTTTACTTCTCGGCTTTTTGCACAGGTATTAAATACGCATTCGCACAATTCACTTGGTTCCATTTGTCAGCAAAAAAAAACATCTTTGTAAATTAATGTCTGTAATATTGATTTACATTCTTCTTCAGGTACTTGACTTTGTTTTACATCGCAATACATTCTGTTAAAAGTAAATCGAGCTTCAGCAAAGATAAAAATTGGGTATATCAGCAAGAAAGTGATATACGTATGTTATATTTATTTGAGTCATTTATGGGAGCTGCACCACAATTAATACTGCAATTATATGTTATTGCGATATTACATCATGCTCCTCTTTCAACAAGTAAGTGCTTTTTTATTTATATGTATTTTTTTCATGTGACTAAAAATTTACATAATCTGAAAAAGAAAGAAACGTAAATACATGTTTTCAAATTTCATTAGTCTGGAACTTTTTGGAAGATTTTTGTACGTAAATTGCATTTAAGACAAAAGTTTTTATTTACATGTAACTATCACAGCTGCCTATTATTACAATACAAAATAACATCAAGGCAATGAATAGTCAAATAATTCAAAATCATTCTTGTAGATCTTATAGATTTTGTCAAGGAGCAATTGCGGTATCTCCTTGATATATTCGGCGAGTATTTCTCTGGTAGTCGCACCGTATGGATTGATGTTTCGCGGATAGTTTTTCTCGTACAGATATCGGCTTAGATCGGCGTCCTGCATGAAAAAGTTCTGATCTCTGTCCAGAGTCTCGAACTTCAAGACATAGTCGTATTGGATCGCGCAGGGTTCGCAGGTGAGATAATACGGCGCCCAATGTTCGTCGAAATGTTTCTCGTTGACAATGAAGCGCAGAAATTCCGCGAATGTCGGCTCCAATTTCGCGGTCACATTAACGTTGTCGAGTTCGCGATACCTGAGTGTAATACGGCGGCCGAAACGTTTGTAATAATACTCGCGTCCCTGCATGTGCTCCAGTTTATCTCTGTATGCGGACAAGAGACGTTCCAACGGGTGTCGCACAATCAGGAACTTTCTTGTTTGTCTTATCTTCTGCAAATCGAATGCAAATTTGTTTGTTATCACTTGTATGTTTATTATACATAACACATTATTATTGTGCTGTTGTTGTTGTTGCTGTTGTTTTTGTTGCTGTTGTTTTTGTTGTTGCTGTTGTTTTTGTTGTTGTTGTTGTTATTATTATTATTATTATTATTGTTATTAACCTTGTATGTTCTGTTGAGATCCGCGTCGCGCGGAAACTTCTGTCTTACGATATTATTGACCTGAATGAGATCGCGACGTATCAGATCCTTAGTAGTGTCCGTTAGCACACCTTTCAACATAACGAAGTAAGTCATCCACATAGAACTTGCCGCCTTGTATATAGGACACCATGACACGTTGTGTGCTCTTTAATTTTATAATACAGATCTAAATTTTTTTCGTTAATATTTTGTTAAATTTTAAAAATTAAATTTTTTTATAAGAACTTTAAAAACAAAGAGTCGGTCTTACGTATCGACGATCATATTCGTCAGCGCGGCATCCAAGTGCGGCTTTCTTTTGCCGATAGTCTCGCACATGCGAGTTATTCGTTGCTTTCTGTTTTCCAAGTCTCGTCTAGCATCTTCTATTTGATTCCGCGACATCGCAACTTGTGGGATTTCGGACTCGACATTGTGCGCGGTAGATGTGTAGTTTGATGATATATACTTCGGCGATGCGGCCGGCTCTATGTTCGTCGTCACGCGTAAAGTTTGCGTTACATTTGTCAGTATTAAAAAAAACCCAATAGTGCAGACCGTTATTAATAGCGCGACCAATTGTATCATCTGCAATCGATCGAGCGTTCTCGTTGTATTTTGATTATTTTGTAACACGATAGTAATTTGCCGTGAAGACAAACGAGAAATCCGAAAGGAAGAAAAATTTATTCTACTTACCTGCAACAGCGAGAAGAGTTTTTTCATGAAAAGATAGAAACCAGCTTTTGCAGTCGCAGACAAATTATTCTTTTTATTTCTTTTGTTGTTGTTCGATATTAATATTATCGTTTGTTGTATAACATACGTCGATTGTCTCATTTCACATCCAATTTACTCAAAAAAAAAAAAGATAAATAAAAATAAAAACACGCTAATAACAGAGAGAAAAAACTGCCAAACTGCGATATTACAATTATATTGCTACAGATGCGTACACTCAGAAAGATACTTGTGAATTCACGTAGAAGAAACTCGCTTGAAGCACTAGTATCATTTTTTCTGCGTCATGCTCTGTTCCTGTAGATAACAAAAGCGGTAGAAATATCTGACAGTTTATCTGTTTCTGAAACAATGCGCATCCTATGAGCGTCTACGCGACGAGAGAGAGATCATGCAAGGGAGGGATCCGTGTCCCCTTTAGTTTTAAATATAAAGCGACGAAGCACACGAAGCAAAGTGAAGGCATGCGCACTTAAAAATAGACGAAAAGAAAATGGCAAGCAGGCGTAAATTAGTAACAAAAAAATTTAGTGCACCGGCTTAATTTTATTTCTTTTTATTATTATTCTTATTTTAATTATATTTTTTTATAATTAACTTGTAGTAACATCTATGTAATTTAAAATAATTTTTTAAATTTATATAGATTATTCAATATTCGTTGAACTCTGATCATATCTCTAAATCTTCCAGCAGACGCAAGAGCTTACTTCCTGTGATAAAAGAGTATGCATGAATGATATTCGAAATCTGTTACAAACTACTATTTTATATGTCTGACTAAGAAAACAGAAAAAATCTTAGATAATAATAGAAAATATATACTTCTAATCAATATTTTATATATTTGCATATATTTTATATATTTGCATGTAAATATTTTTTTAGTATTGATAAAACATATTACAATTAAGAAAGTATTTGTAAGATAAAATATATACAAGGTGTTTTAAAAAATTTTGACAAAGTGTGAAGATAAATTGGATTCATCTGGACTGAGAAGTCATGTATCATTTTGCAAAATTCACAATAGTTATTGAGTAATTAATTAATACGTGTGACCGAATGAACACGTAGGAAGCGATGATCCAGACTATAGGCGTATGATTTTCAGTTGTGAAAATCAGCTGATTGCAAGAAGCTGTCTTGCTTGGTTGCTTCGCTTCTTGCTGTTAGGAAATTACATGGAGTAAGCCATTTTTCTTTACAACTGAAAATCATACACGTTTACAGAAACTGCGTTTTGATATTCATTGTCAGTACTAAAAATCTATACGTCACATGTGCTATAGATTTCCAGTACTGGAAAGTGAATATCGGAACATAGTCAGAATCCAAACCAATGCTTCTCACGCGCTCATTGAGTTACATGTATTAATTAATCACTCAATAACTATTGCAAATTTTGAAAACTGATACATGACTTTTCTTCAGATTACTCCAATCTATCTTCATATTTCGACTTGGTTAAAATTTTTCAGACATCCTGTATATACAGAGCGTGTGACAATGAATGACAAAGTTGTGAAGATAGATTGAGAATCTAAACAGAAAAGTAACTTACCATTTTGCAAATTTGCAATAGTTATTGAGATATTAATTAATGAAAGTGAGCCAATGAATGTATAGGAAAAAATAGTTCGGACTCTATACTCTATAGGTGTGCACGATTATCACACACATAGTTGTAAAGAAAGTTGCTTACCTCATGCAATATTCTAGCAACAAAAAACAGCAAACAAATAAGCGGTAATAGAACACAACTTTTTGTGATCAGCTAATTTTCACAGCAAACAACTGAAAATCATATATGCTCACAGAGGCTCTGTTTGGTTATTACTGACAGTATTAAAAATCTATAGATTCACGTTACGTATCTTATAGATTTTTTAGTACTGCCAGTAATGATCGAACAGGGCCAGAGTCCGGACCATCACTTTCCACGCGCTCACGGAATATTTTGCTCTCTGCGACCTATGAAGATTAAATATTTTACAAATATTTTAGTAAAACTATTAAATTTTTTCTAAGCGCGAAAAGGTATCCTTGTTACGCAAAAGATGCGCACACAATTAGCCCGCAGATTAAGTGGTAATAAATATTGGAAATTTTGCAAAATGGTAAATGACGTTTCTATTCAGATTGATACAATCTATCTTCATACTCGGCTGTGTAAAAATTTTTCAAACACCCTATAACTATATCGTTTCAGACAATTAAATTGAAATAATTTATTAAAAGATAAGTTATTTAGATTTAATAATTATACGTATATGAGAAATTTTATTGCGCAGGTGCTTCCGCTGTCGCTTCCTTCTGCTCCTTAATATGGGCCGTGAGTACTTACGTGAAGGCCATGCATAATATCAATTGCGAGCGTAATAACGTAACTTGGGTCGCGCTCGCTCTTCAAGCTTTCTGGCGTGGCGGTATGTTATTGTCTAGAATCGGAGTTCTGGTACTAGCTACTGTCATCCTAAGAACTTGGTTTTTTTTATTTTTAGGTAAGTTTTATTACGTACAGTAATTACAGAGAATACGTGCAAAATTATAATTAGTTTTCCTATAGATAACAGTTTGAAAGCTTAATTACTATAAGGCAGAATAGTTGACAAATATCACGCGCAAATCATAAAAAATTGTTGTGCTTTATAGAAGGAAATTTCATAAAATTGTATTTTAGGTGTGCATTGGTTATTTATGACGATTTGGGTAATCGTGCAAAAAATAGAATTCTGCTCACCCATGTGGGAGGAGCGTATCTACAATTGCATCATCGGACTAATCTATTGCTTCGATTTCTTCAATCTCCGCGAAGGCAGATCGCGCTATCATGTGCTGGCATTTTATTCGGTAATCGCAACGCAGAATCTGATCTTTCTCGCTCTGTACGCACTACTTTTTAGGAATACCATTGCGAGCAACATACTAATCGTGATCGAAACTGTAATAATCGGCAGTATGCTCATCGGTCTGATGAGTATGCTGTTATACTACGGCAAGTTTCATCCATCGAGGACAATAACTAACGGTTCCCAAAACATCGAGCGTTCGCATTCCGTGACAGCCAAGGTCGACACCCCTAAGTCCTTCAAACTCTTTCAGTGCGGTTCATTGACACCCCTGCATCATTCCATTGATATCTCGCCAATGACCAAAGAAATGGCTACTGACAAACAGTCTCTGCTTACGAATATCGCGCAGATTTCCGATTCCGGTGAAGAGGGTATCGTCAATTGTAACTATAACTCAGATGAATCCTGCGTTGTGCGCATTTCTATTGAGTGCAAGAATCCGTACAATTACGCCAACAAACACAAGGAGGAAGTTGCCATATTGTCGAAAGACAATCTAGACGACGCGCTTGTGAGCTCACTGTATTTGAATCCGGCCGACATCGATTTGTCCCGGAAACGTCGCGGTATTTACGATATTACGTCGCAGCTGGATTGGCATGCCCCGGACATATTAAGCGTCAACCTGAATCAACAAGTAATCTCGAATCAATTCGGCAATCTCGACACGACGACTTCCGAATCGAACAACTCTGTCTCACTGGATTCTCGCAATAAGATGATTGATGCATTCGACATCATTAAGAACAGAGGGAAACTAACGACTCCGACGCCGTTCGAATGTAGCAGAATATTTGACATAGAAAAGGTGCAGCAACAGGATGCCACAAATATCTCTTTTATTGTACTTTGAAAACATGCATGTTATATTTTATCAGAGAGAAGCCTGAGAGCGGCTACGGCCATAAGAGTTTCTGCGATAGCTTTTCGTGGACATGATTCTATTCCATGCTATGAGAACACCGACGTGGTGGGGATACGCACACAAGCGAGACCGTTGTCCGTGTGCGCTCGTAAAAGAGTGCAGACATATTATGTCGATGTATGACGACGGTTCTGGCTTGTGTGCGTATCTATGTCCACGAAAAGCTATCGCAGAAACTCTTATGGCCATGGCCGCTCTCAGGCTTCTCTCTGATTTTATATTTATTATTTTACTTGAATAAAATTAACATAAATAATATATAAATATAATAAAAACATTGTGTTAACGTACATTAATATACATATGTACATGTTTTATAAATATAATATATGTATACATTAGTAAACATATGTTTTATTATAATTGTGCTGTTTTATTATGTTTTATTTTATTATAATAAAACATAAATATGTATACACATACAGTGAGAGTCAAAAGTGAGTATACTCTTTACAAACATGAGGTTCGTACTTGTAATATTTACGGATTAGAATATTAAGATCGAAATAATAATATGGTAGTATGTGATATTTGTGGCATTTTAATCATATATGAAGATACGTATCTTAGTAATTCGCGAAATGTATTGTAAAATGTAAAAAAGTTTTTGAATAAATTCCGTACTTTTAAGGTGTATATTCACTTTTGAATGTACATCTTACTCTCACTGTACGTATATTATAATAAAAAAAAAATATATATATACATATATACATACATATATTAGTGTTAACACAATATTTTTTGCGACAGCAACAACGAGACGAGACGATGAGCTGCGTAACGTCGATCCATGATTACGAGAACATATGCCCACTAGGAGTTGCTAGACCGCCGTGGTGCATTCGCAGCTGGAAAGCATATACGGACATCGAGACATATATTCATGACGACAGCGTGGTGCGTGATCGACGGCGGGACACTTTAACAAGTACGACGGGAACGACATACAGTTCAGAATATTCCGACAGCATGTTCTCACGAGGCATTTCGAAGCAGGATGATTACACGAACGCGTTGACTTACGATCTGGTAGAATCTAAAGACATCAAATTTTATAGCGACAATACTTTTCTTACCGTAGACAGTCGGAATACTAATTTATACGCCGCAAAACCAGTAGTAATTGATGATCGGGACGGCATGCTCGCTTTGGACACGATAATGGAGGAACGCGATGATTTAGCGACAATATCATCGAACGAGAAGTTTCCGTTTTCTAATCCGGAACCAGTGTGTAACTGCGCAAGTACTCTGGTGAGCACGATCGACCAGATCAGGCAATACACGGAGAATTCACCGCGCCATGTCTACCACGCCAGTGAAAAACAATGGGAGGTTCTGAATCCGAAGAACCTAATGACGCGCGCGAATTTTACCAAAGTGTTGTTTGACAGCAATCTCAAGAACGTTTCAACTAATCCAAACAATTTAAAAACGCCGGAAGTCGAGAAACGTGATATCGATGCTATCCGGGAGTTGGTGCGATGCTGCGCGATTGAGTCCATCAAAAAGACACCGCTGATAGACGCTATCTTGTCGGACTCGCCGATCTTAGGCAACCGCGCGAGTAAGTTTGTGGATCGCAAAACCGACGCAAACGAAAGCGATTTGTACGTCGAGATGAATCCCTTAGTGTCCGTTAAGAACGAGAATTCTCTTCAGATCAGACTGATGGACGTCACCGCAAATTGTAAGAGGAGCAATCCACTCGTAAAAAAATTGCCGGACAAAGAAAATCTAGCGCCGATCTCATCAGACGATACTACGTTTGTGATACGTGATAACAGTAATAATAACGATAGACGTGCCTGGACTATCGAGAGAAATGACAAGAACGACAAATCTCTGTGCAGTGTGCGTTTTAATTTAAAAGAGAAGAGACACTTGTTTCTTGAACAGGTTCTCTCACCGTTTTCTCGGCGGTCCCGAAACTCTGGAACACACGCATCTTCCATCCGAGCACTAAACACTTGTAGCGACATAGAGACTTAATATTTGTTTTGTACACACACAACAAATTAATCTACAGCTCAATTTTTACTTGCTCAAGTAATTTATCATTTGTATTTTAAAAATTTTAGATATTTTCTATCGCATAAAAGCCATGACACTAAATTGATCTTAATCCGTGATGTTGAATAGTTTTTAGAAAAAAATATATGACATTTGTTTGATTCCATTACATCTGATCGCAAGTAAATCAGGACAATAATTAAATAGGATCAAGAATGTTACATCACAATACAAATCTGCAGTAAGTATATAATCATGGTGAGTAGTTTCAAAATGGAATTTAAAATAACCGTACTTTAACTTACTGTGTGTATGTGTGTGGTAGCGCGCGCGCTCCAAATTTTCTTTTAATTGTATTTATTATGAAGATATTTTCACGCGCGAAATTCGAAAATCGAGATCTTTACGAAACTACGGCCGAGTATGAAGTACATGCGATGTTAGCATGTGATACGCACTGTGAAGCTGTAATGATTGAAATTTAGTATTATGTTCCCACGCTTAGATAAATATATAAAAACGATATATTTTATCTCGTATCAAAAGTATTTTTGTATGCGATTATTTTACTGTGTAAAATAAACAAATGACTTTGTGTAAGAAAATGTTATTTTTACGAATAAAGATGTTAAGAAGAAGAAAATAAATTCTTGAATTTTGAACTCGCTAATAGCTATACTTTGCATATGCTATATAGATTTCATTCATAGAATACAATAATATAGCAAAGTTCTTGTATCTTTTGTGATGAAAGCATGAAAATTAAATTAATTAGAAGTTTTAATGAAAACAATGAATTTTTAAGTATCTAACGGATTCCGAACAAAATACCTTTTCGAAAAAAAATAAAAAAAGGCGCCAACTGTAGTACACGCGCAACTCATTCTTTAGAAAAAGTATTATAAAAATCTTTCTCTACAAAATCTATTGTTTTAGAATATTTTATATTTTATATTTTACAACGTATAAACAACTTACAAAGTTTTATATAATAGTTTATATTTTGTAACAATGTATAAATGTACAAGATTTTACTTGGTGCTACTTATTGATATCATTTCTTTTGTAGAATAGATTTTGAAAAAGATCTAGAATAGATCTAGAAAAAGATTTTTATAGTAATACTTTTTCTAGAGATACTAATTGCGCGTGTACTTGGCGCCTTTTTTTACCTTATTTTGAAAAGATATTTTGTTCGTCTATCTTTCATCGATAAATGTTTACCTATTTCTGTACGCATTGTTATGTATGCCGACGATATCGCTATTTATTGCTCTCATAAGACTTTAGACTGCATATCGGATCAATTGGAGCGTGCGCTTGGGAATCTGCGTTCCTGTCTTCTTGACTTGGACTGAGGATCTCTCCCGAGAAATTTTGTTACACCTTTTTCTCTGCAACAAAGCCACGTTATTTTCGGGTTCTTATTCGCGAACAGAAGATCGGGATTTGCATCGACAATACTCCTTTAGAGCTTAATTGGACGCCCAGATTCCTTGGAGTTATTCTCGATGCTAATTTGACTTGTAGAGCTCACGTTTACTCAATTTGTAAGCGCGTTCAACTCTGCATTAATGTGCTGAAGGCTTTTGCTGGCATCAGATGAGGAGAATCCACTCTTTTCTGCTGCTCTCAATGTATATAAGGGTTTTTTATTAGGTCAGTCTTTGACTGGGGCTCTCAGATTTTCTCCACGCTTTCTGGCGTTGAGCAGAGCAAGCTGGATAGGCTGCAATTCGCATGCCTTTGCATCTCTCTTGCTCATATGCGTACAACGCCGACTAATGTTTTGTTAGATATCAATGGCAAGTTTTCTTTGGCTTGTCGCTTTCGCCATCTTACCAAAAGATTTCTCTCAAAGGTTATCGTTCGACATAGCCACCGACTTCTTGGCCTGCTGTCCCGCTCCAAGGGAACAAGACTTTTTGTCGAAGATCGTAGAGACGAACTGGGTCACTTACTGATGTATTATAATATTGTTGCGCTCGCGGCCGCGCTAAAACTTCGTTGCGAAACGCACTCGCCCGCGGAAACAAGAAGGTACGCGGCTTTCCGTCAAACACTCTTTATTATAGCTCAAATTACAATCATAGAACAGCTCGTAATACGAATCGCCGAAACGCGTCGTGACAGCTTCGCGTCTCTCCCGAACTTCTTGTCAACAACCATCGTCGCCCGGCAACCGACAGTCGCGCCGAGCGCGCGCCG